AGCAGAAACCCTACAAGCCACAAGAGAGTGGGGGCCAATATTCAACATCCTTAAAGAAAAGAACTTTCAACCCAGAATTTCATATTCAGCCAAACTAAGCTTTAAAGTGGAGGAGAAATATCCTCGGTTTGTGGCTACATCACTCCAATCTCTACTTCTGTGGTCACCCTGTGTCTTCCTCTTCCCTGTTTCTGTGTCAACTCTCCCTTTGCCTCTGTCTTCTAATGAAACTTTTGATGAAATTTAGAACCCACCCAAACAATCCAGAGTAATCTCTTCATCTCAAAATTCTTGATTTAATCACATCTACAAAGACCCTTTTCCCAAATAAGGTAACATTTACAAATTCCAGGGAATCAGACTGGATCTCTTTGGGTGGCTATTATTCAGCCTGCTAAGGTGAGAAACATAGAATTTGAACTACGACTTCCATTCCCGCGCTTTCATGAAATGCTTCTTAGTACATTTACCTAAATATAGTCAACAAATTGATGAAACCCTAATTTGATTATTACACATTATATACATGTACTGAACTATCACTCTCTATCTAATATGTACAATTATTACATGTCGACTAGAAATAAAAAAATTACTGAGATGTTCATGGTTTTTGCAACTAAAAGGCTCATTATAGGGCAGAGGATTAAGGCCATCTAACATTTTCCCTGTCACAGTAAAACTGAGATTTAAGACAATACAAAATCTAAAAGAAAATGCCAAGCAAAAGAAGACTGTGAGATTATGAGAAAAGGCAGCGCAGAACACTGAAAAGGCCAAGGACTTTAGAACCTGACAGGCTTGAGCACCTTTTAGCTACAAACTGCTTAAATACCAAGAGCTTCAGGTATCTCATCTATAAAACCAAGAAAACAAAGGCAGCCTTTCAAATCTGTCACAAGCTTTTGAGAAAATATACACATCATGTTATAAACATAAAATACGTTACATTGTTGACATCCAATAAATGTAAGACTGTATTGTATGTTTAAAAAAGAAGATTTTTGGAGATTATATGTTTAAAAAAAGAAAAAGCATGTCTATTAATGGGAAAGGGGATAAAATAAAAGGCAAAGTACATCAGAAGGTATTCCAATTATTTATTTATTTTTAAAAAATAGTTTTGCTCCTTCATATGATACCTTGAGAGGCCTTCCAATTCTATCAAATAAAGGCCCATAAATATATCGATATACATAGGAACCAAAATTTTCACAGAGAGAGATCCAAAATTTAAAAAACAAAGAAAAATCCTGTAATGTTAAATTTAAAAGAAAATGTCATTATGAACTTTTACTTTTTTGAAGTTTGTATATTTCCCAGTTCTTTTCACTGAAAAGTCAGAGAAGTAGCAATACCCTAGTAACAATTAGCCAGTGCCCAGAGCTTTGTTTCTAAGCACCATTCCCAAATAAAAGGAATCAGAGCTTCATGGTGGGGAAAAAGTGATTTCCAGGTCAAAGCCAGGAACAGTTCAAGGTGAGCCTGGAAAAACTAATTTGCAAAAAACAAGGAGTATCTGAAAGCTGAGAATAAGAAGCCAGATTGAAGCCCTCCCACTGACCAGATTTGTGACCATTTGCATGTAAGAGAATAATGGTAATGGATTATAATATATAGAATTAAAATAAATAAATCCAGAAAATTATATTGCTATAAAAGAGTAAAAGAAAAAGAAAAGGGGCCAGGCGCGGTGGCTCAAGCCTGCAATCCCAGCACTTTGGGAGGCCGAGGTGGGTGGATCACAAGGTCAAGAGATCGAGACCATCCTGGTCACAATGGTGAAACCCCGTGTCTACTAAAAATACAAAAAATTAGCTGGGCATCGTGGCTCGTGCCTGTAATCCCAGCTACTCAGGAGGCTGAGGCAGAATTGCCTGAACCCAGGAGGCGGAGGTTGCGGTGAGCCGAGATCGCACCATTGCACTCCAGCCTGGGTAACAAGACTGAAACTCCGTCTCAAAAAAAAAAAAAAAGAAAACGAAAAGGAGGAAGAGGAAAGAAAGTTTCTGTTTACCAAAGAATGCTGGACAATAAACACAGGAGAAATTATAAGATGAGAAAAACAGCTATCTTTTATTTTATTTATTTATTTATTTATTTATTTATTTTTGAGCCGGAGTTTCGCTCTTGTTACCCAGGCTGGAGTGCAATGGCGCGATCTCGGCTCACCGTAACCTCCGCCTCCTGGGTTCAGGCAATTCTCCTGCCTCAGCCTCCTGAGTAGCTGGGATTACAGGCACGAGCCACCATGCCCAGCTAATTTTTTGTATTTTTAGTAGAGACAGGGTTTCACCATTGTGACCAGGATGGTCTCAATTTCTTGACCTCGTGATCCACCTGCCTCAGCCTCCCAAAGTGCTGGGATTACAGAAACAGCTACCTTTTAAACATCAATATAACAACTGGGTGAAGAATCATCATGGATGCTAAAACCATTAGGTGAAAGGTTGCTAAAGAACAGGATATCCATGTGATCCCGACATATCATCCCACAGACTACCTACTCATGTAACAACAACAAAAATGGAACCTTTTCAATAGAAACATCTGGTTGATGTCAACTTCCTCAAGTGACCAACAGCATCACCAATGCCTGCACAATATCCCTCCTGAGGAGATACAATCAGGAGTATAGAATAGCTCCTAACCAACCCAAAATTTACCCTGATCAAATCAGACAGTGAGGAAACAATCAGGCAAATCCAGAATGCAGAACCTTCAGTAAAATAACTGGCCTGAATTTCAAAAGTCATATAATGAAAAACAGCATAATGCAAGGTTCTGTTTTAGAGTGAAAGAGCCATAACTAAATGCAGTATCATCTTCAATCAAAAAACAAAAACGAAGGAAACAAGAATAGGCAAAGAGCCATTTGAGGTAGAGAAGGGAGATGAAGATATCAGATCTGCAAATATACTTGAAAGTTCTAGTATATTTAAATATGGACTAGATATTAGCTGATATTTGACATGATCATTAATTCTAAGTGTGATAATGGCATGGGGGTTATGCAGGAGAATGTCTTAGTCTCAGAAGATGAATGCCGAAATATTGTGGTGCATACAATTTATACTTCAGTGTTCCAACCAAAATAAGAAATTATGTGTATACATGTTTGTGTGTAGAAAATGTGTGTGTACAAAGAGAGCATAAAGATGGTAAAAAATGTTAATAAGTCAATCTAGATGAAGGGTATAGACTGTGTGCTCACTGTATTCTTCTTTCAACTTTTTTGTAGCTCAAAATATTTTTCTGTAGTTTAAAATTTTTCAAGTTAGAAAAAACTGATCTCAAATATTAAGGCAGATAACTCATGGTGCATGTGAACTTGGTCACACTTCTTCTGAAACATAAGCCATTATAGGAGGTGAAAAACAAATTTCCCACAGAAAAATGCTTGCTAGGATAAATCTATGTTTTCCATAGTTTCAGCTTCAATGAACTAGTGTGAAATATACCCCAGCCTTTTCCTGAACCACCCTGCTCATACATTACATTTTCCTACCAAGCAAAGAATCCACCTTGGGGTAAGGGTAGAAAACAAAGGTAGCAAGGTTAAAAAGGAAACCTTCTGCTGGTGAAACAGAGAGAGAAGGCATGATCCAACAATCCTCCAGAATACTGCAGCAAGTAGATCACCTAACTCCCTGTCTGCTCCCTCCCAGTCATCAAGACCTTCATTTTACAGAAGGTTCTTTCTATTTAAAAAAAATGGGGTGACAGGTGCATAAATAAGAAAAGGAAAGTGTTAATGAAAACTGAGAGTATTTAAAGTACATGAAGATGTCATAAATGGGTTATATCTCAAACTGCTGCATGTGGGAAAATCAGACACATGAAGATTCCAATAAAGAGAGAAAATTCAGAGCTAGAGAACACCGCAAAGTGGTAGTAACGGCAATCTGTCAAAAGGATGCCTGCAAGCAGCGGGGGCAGAGGGCGAAGTCTCCGAAAGTTTACCTAGAGAAGGAAGAAGGCAAGGTCCTTTACAGTTTACCTAGAGAAGGTCAGTTCTCGTACATTATACTTTGGCTATTAGCACACATTGGTGTTTGATTAGCAAGAGTTCAGAGTTCAAAATTCTGTGTTTAACAGTACAAGCCACTGCAATCTAATACAGCTTAAGAAAAACCCATTTTTAAAATGTAAGCAGAGGGTCCGATGCAGTGGCTCATGCCCGTAATCCCAACACGTTGGGAGGCCGAGGAAAGCAGATAGCTTGGGCCCAGGAGTTTGAGACTAGCCTGGGCAACATGGCAAAACCCCATCTCTGCAAAATTTAGCTGGGCACAGTGATGCACACCTGCAGTACCAGACACTTGGGAGGCTGAGGCGGGAGGCTCACTTGTGCCAGAGAGACAGAAGTTACACTGAGCCAAGATCATGCCACTGTACGGTGACAGAGTGAGGCGATGCCTCAAAAGAAAGGAAAAAGAAGAAGTTCCAACAACATGTAACCAGAGAAGACTGGTAGAGAAAAGAAAATCTAAAGGGATTTTGTGATGTGTCCAAATTAATTCTATATGGTAGAGTGTCTCTCCTATGGCTTTTGCAGAGTGCCTTTCTTCGGGCTTTGGAGTCACAGGTCAATTTTTAAAGGCAATTTGATCAGAAAGAAAGATTATAGAAAAGTCAATTCATAGAGCTATGTTGTACATTTAGTCACAATTTTACAGCTGCCTTGAAAAATACCAAAGGCATAAAAATACTCTTATATATCTGTACACCACCACCTTGATGACAATAATAGTTCTCCAAACAATAAAGCATTCTTTAAACAAGTCAAATATATACATATTAATCCCCAACTTGAAATGACAATTAAAGGAAACACTAACGGTACTATTACTCAAATAATGTATTAATGATAGTAGGAAGTACAGAAAATGCTCCTAAGAGATGCGAAGGTATATATTTAATGACTTCTTGGTCATTAGAGCAAAAGAACACTGTTTTAAACAAAAAGAATTAAATAAGATAATTAAAAATAAACATACCCATCCTTGGTCTGATCCACCACTCCACTTAAAAGTTCCACAGTCTTTGGATTAGGCTGGCTTTCTCCAAAAATGTTCAAGTATCGAGTGACAAAGTCATTGGGGGACATGAAAAATTCACCATTTTTCTCAATGCTTGCATACTGTTTTAAAACAAAGAGAAATGATATTTTATGTATTTGATACTCAAAAGTATATAATCATGGAATTGATTTGTGAAAAAGCTGAAAATATCCAAATGATAAAATATCAGATATGATCATGTACTCTTCACAATGGCCATTATCTCCAAACATCAAAGAAAAAACAAGTCAAATTTTATGTTTATAAACTTAACTGGGATCAATGCTTTCCCACAGGGACATCTGGCATATCTGATGGCAATTTAGATTGTCATAACATATGAAGAATGGTGCTACTGGCTCCAGCGGGTAGAAAGAAGCCAGGGATGTTGCTAAACATCTGACAGTGTGCATGATGACTCCCTGCAACAGATGCTTCTCCAGCCCAAAGTGTGGGCGGTGTCCAGGATCGGAAACCCTGGTTTACAGAAACTTGGAAAGACAAACTATGTCTTGCTTTTTAGCAAAGGCACATAGCTTTTTTTAAGCAGAATTACAAAGTAATGGAGGCAAACGACCTAATTATTTTACCCTGTTCCTGCTTTAAGAGCATCAATGACACAAAAAAGGATGGCAAACAAGCTAAGCTGGAAAGCAAACTACTTGTGTGTCGTCTTGGGGAATCTCATGGAGGGAGGCAGTGAATACTGCTCTAGTTACTGTCTTCTCCATTCTAGGACATTATGATGCAGAAATGCTTAGTAAGAATTAGACAGCATACAACACTTTCTCACAGTGTTCTCCTAAGTCTGGTCTTCAATGTGATACACTCCAGCCTGGATAAGAGGGAGCCCACTAATTTCTGCTGCATGGAGCCCCAAGAGCAGAAATGTTGAGAAACGACATAGGATCATGTGCTGTCCTTATGGAACAGGAGATGGCCTCTTGATCCTGGGGACAAAACAGTGATGTGGGGATGGGGAGGCAAGGGCAGTGCATCTGCAAGAACAAGCCTAGCTGGGTGACAAGAACCACACTGGTAGCCATAGTGATGGAGGGTGTGCAATGAAGTGCCAGGGCAGTGTCTCCCCTCTCTCTCTAAGTTAAGCCTGATTAAAACTGTTTTTAAAAGAAACTTGTTATTTCTACATTTTAATTCCAATGCAGACTAAGGCTTTGCTCAGATACTCAGTAATAATAAGGTTTGGAGTCCCCTCAGACCTGGACTGTGCCTCTTACCACCTGAATGGCCTCAGATAAGTAACTGTAGCTTTTGGTGCCTCTGGTTTTTCATTCATAAAATGGGTAGAACAACATTATCAGCTACATAAGACTGATGCTAGAAATAAATGAGATAATCAAGTCATATACTTAGCACAACGCCCTATACACAGTAAGTACTTTATACTAAATAAAAGTTCTATAGTATTTATTGTCTTATAGTTAACTTTTTAGCACACTACACGGGAAAGGCTCAAAGATGGCCCAGTGATCCTACTATTCTTCAGTTAGCATTTAATTTTACTTTTTAGACACATAATGAATTATATTTTGATTTTCCTGAGCCAAAGCAAGATGAAAATATAAAGGAAATATCACTACTAATTATAGCAATCCTATGACTTAGGAGTTATACCGAAGTTTGTCCCAGATAGTGAATAATTTATTTTAATATACAATTTAACTTTTCTCCTACCAGTACACATTTCCAGCTTTTTTGTATTTTTAAATAAAGCCAAGGTAGCAAGCTTCATATATAACATTTGTCCAAATTCCTGGCAATTTTCAAAGGCTAGGCTCCCAGAAGAGAAATTGTTGAGTCAAAAGAGAGGAACTTTTGGGCTCTTGGTACTTATTATCACACTGCTCTCCAGAAAAGATTGTACCAATTTACACTCCCACCAACAGTGGGTAAACATGCCCTTTACCCACTTTGGTCTATTATATTTATTGCAAATATTTTTCCAATTTGACATTTTTATATAATTGAGTCTATAGAATTTTTACTCCTTTCAAATTTCTTCCATTACTTTTCTAAGCTTAGACACTAGTTGTGTTAGTCTGTTCTTACACTGCTAATAAAGACATACCCAAGACTGGGCAATTCATTAAAAAAAAAAAAGAAGAAGAAGAAGTTTAATTAACTCATAGTTCCACATGACTGGGGAGGCCTCACAATCATAATGGAAGGCGAATGAGGAACAAAGTCACGTCTTACATGACGGCAGGCAAGAGATCTTGTGCAGGGGAATTCCCATTTTAAAACCATCAACTCTCGTGAGACTTATTCACTACCAAGAGCAATACTAGGGAAACCATCCCTACGATTCTATTATCTCCACCTGGCTCCACCCTTTAAATGTGGGAATTATTTATTATTTAAATGTGAGATTTGGGTGGGGACACAGCTAAACCATATCACCAGTCTTTCTTCATTTCAAGACTAAATATCAGAGAGTTTCTCTGAGCTTTTTAAAAGTAGGTTTTGCGTTTACCTTTACGTTTTAATATATTAGTACTTTATCTTTGTGTGTGATCTAAGGTAAGAATCCCCCAATTTTAATTTTTCTACTTAATCTCTTGGTTGTCCCAGGAACACAAAGCAAATCATTCTCTCTTCCTGGTCTTTAGGATGCCATGTTTATTATATATTCAATTATCATATGGTCACCAGGGAAAGGCATGACAAAATGGCTCCATCTACAGTACCAGTTCTAAGGAGCTGGCAAAGGCTTCCTAGGGCCAACATGTATTCTAAGACGGACCCACATTCCATGGGAAAATGCCAGGACCAAATGACAGCTCTTGCCATAACTGCAGAAATATTTCAAAACTATCCTTTTCTTTTCTTCTTTTTTTTTTTTTTTTTTTGTTTGAGACCGATTCTCACTCGGTCTCCAGGCTGGAGTGCAGTGGCTGGGCTCACTGCAACATCTGCCTCCCAGATTCAAGTGATTCTCCTGCCTCAGCTTCCCGACAAGCTGGGACTACAGTGTGCAGCACCACGCCCAGCTAGTTTTTGTATTTTTAGTAGAGACAAGGTTTCACCATGTTGTCCAGGATGGTCTCCATCTCTTGACCTGGTGATCCGAGTGCCTAGGCCTCCCTAAATGTTGCGATTGCAGGTGTGTGCCACCATGCCCTGCCAGGACTATCCTTTTCAATTGACTTGTTTACTCTTGCAAGATTACATGCATCTTAGTTGCTACAACTAGAGGGAAAGTTCAGTCAGGACAGAATTTTTTCCTGTCTTTTTCACTGCTTTGTCCTCAAATTCCCAGACTGGTACCTGATAGATAGCGGAAAATGTTCAAATAAATATTTTTTAAAAGAATGAAAGGTTTAAGAAAGATGTTGAATTATTTTACTCTTGGAAATTTTCTTGGCCATGATAACTCCTTGATTTTCCACAAATAACCTTTAGAATCATTATCAAGTTGCTGCTCCCTAAAAAAATTCCTCTGAAAAGCAAAATAAAACAATGCAAGGCTGGGCACACTGACTCATGCCCATAATCCCAGCACTTTGGGAGGCAAAAATGGGCAGATTGCTTGAGCCCAAGTGTTTGAGACCAGCCTGGGCAAGATGGCAGATTTCCAACTCTACAAAAAAATACAAAAATTAAGCAGGTATGGTAGTGCGTGCCTGTAGTCCCAGTGGGGATGAGGCATGAGAATTGCTTGAGCACAAAAGACTGAGGCTGCAGAGAGCCATGTTTGCACCACTACACTCCACCCTGGACAACAAAGTAAGAAAGACCCTATCTTAAAAAATAAAACAGAAAACCTACATGCAATACCATGCCATACTCTCAAGATAACGAAAAAGAATAATAAGTGATGGCAAAAATGTGGAGCAAATGTTTCTCACACACTGATGGTATGGGAATAAAGGAGTAAACCATTATAGAAAAATGCTGGGCGATATCTGCTATAGCTGAAAATACATACAACCACAAGCCCAGCAAGTTCAATGAGAAGTATATCTCCAAAAAAGCGTGCATATACAACAAAACTATATGAAAATGCCCACAGCAGCATTATTTGTAATATCCAAAAACCTAAAAATAACACAAATGTCAACCAATAACACAAATTCAACCAATAGGATACATCAACAGCCTGATGAATTCACATAATGGAATACAGCACAGCAATAAGAATAAACGAGCTCCAACTACATACGACAACACAGACAAATCCCATAAATAAAGAATAAAAGAAAAGAAACATAAGAAAACTTACAGTATAGTTCCATTCATACAAAGTGAAATCAACAGGCAAAACTTACATACAGTTAGTTTTAACATACAGTGACCAGAATTCAGACAACTGGTTGCCCTTGGTGGGTGCTGATCAGAAGGGGCATCAGAGGGCCTCTGGGATGCTGGGCCAACTCGCTTTCTGAGTATTCATGGGGCTGTACATTTGTGATGTGTACATTCAATTTATATTTTAACAATTTACATTTTAAAAGTCATTGAGAGATATCAGGTTCATTTTTTAGATGTAATAAAGTAATTATTTCTTAAATATAAGAGTGTGTTAATCTGGCCAAGAAACAGTTTTCGTCCATTTGTAAAACCAGCTCATCACCACAGCTAGGCAGTCTGCTCTATGATTTAAGTAAATATGTCAAAAGTTGCTTCTTAGGATTGATGGACAGAGGCCAACCACAATAAAAATATGTACGAGGGTACTAACAAATGTGGCTCTACTCTCCCTGCAGCAGTGAGCCGAGGGTCCCTGCAGGGGGAACAGACTACATCCTTATAGCCACCACATCTTTAAAATGTCATTAATCTTTCTTTGGGAATATTTTTCACTAGTGACCTGAAGCCTCCCTCCCTTGCAATTTTTGGGAGTTTTGATATGATTAAACATACACTTAGAAAATGGGAAGAGTTTCAGGATTCCCTGTACAACCTTATATAATACTTACCATCATCACCAAATGCCACCACACCCAGTGAAGATGATAGCAAAGAAAACCAGAAGGAACCTACCACTACCAATGCCCATTCTCTGGGTCCTATCTGGCCTGCTCACCATCAGTCACAGTAAATTGATAAAGGTTTGTAA